GTTCATTGTTTCAATTCAAGCCTCTTTACTGGCGACCGAAATATTCCAAGGAACCAACCCTCAATGAGTGTAGTATCGAGTATCTACCAACTTCGGACTGCACCAAAGTCGTTCATCTCACTACATCCTAAAAGGCCAAGTTGGTCAAGTAAAGGTTCTAGAAGTCCATTAGTGCTTCATGAAATCACTCAGCGGCCCCGTATTCTCTTTGATTGACTCAAAGGCTACCGGTACCCACAAATATGTCACACTAATATAGCTATTGCTTAGACCATGTCGGTATACCCCGCACAGTTTCCACAACGTATTGCTATTTACCTATAATGTTTCCCAAATCCGGGTGGAGGATTCAAACCCAAACAAAGAACCATAATTGTAAAGCAAACAAGTCAAACAAGGTAAGCAAATAAAGGTGATCTAAACCCTAAGGTAACCCCACTTTTATAATATATTCCTAGCAGAGTCGCCAGTTCTGTGATGCGGTGGGAGAACTGACTTGAGGTTTTTCATTTGTGTTCGCAAATGTTGCGGTTAGCAAGAGTCGCCACCGACTTTTCTTTTATCCAAAAAGGAAAGGTAAAAAAGCACAGGAAAGACCTTTGAGATTGTTTTCTTGAGTTCGGGGGGTAGATTATGAAAAGGGAAGGTGCTAGAACCCTTTTCATCCATGGTTTTCCATGGGCTCTTAGTTACTTGTTTAGACACTTGCTTTGCTTTGAAATTGTTTAAAATGGTGTTTTGTGTGGTTTTGGAAGTATTTTGAAAAGAGGCCATTGTTTAGGCGATCTTTGTAATGATTCTCGTTCATAAGAATGTATACAAAGATGTTTGTCTTTTGAAAAATGTTTCAATGTTTTGAAAGATATTTTGAAATGTGTGTGTGTGTGTGTTTGTTTAAAAATAGCAAGGATTGTTTTGAAATGGGACAAGTAACTAGAATCTATCTACCTACTCAAATGTCTTTCTTGTGCATTTTTATTCCTTTGACATTGTTGACTTACCATTAATTTGGTAAGCAACCCTATCTTTGGATGTAAACGGGATGAGTGTGGGTCATCGTATGACCATGATAGCAATGTTGCCAAGTATCTTAGCATTTTTGAGGGACCAAGATCATCTTTGTTTAGGCAACCTTTTGATAGCGTCATCGAGGGACTATGATCTTATTTTGTTTTGTTTTGCCAAGATACTTCGTGTGCGTAACATGGCCATTTTATTTTAGGCAACCAAGTGGGAGAAACCCTAAGGGTGCTTGTGTGCAATGTGTATCATTTTCATGTCTTTGATTTGTCTTGGATTAGGTCTTGTCTATTTGTTTTGTTTTTTGGTCTTGTCACACAAACCCTAGTTTACTAAACATGGTATAAATGCGATAAATTGCGTAAATGTAAACTAAGCTATTACAACAATTATTATGGGAGGGGGGATACAAGTTTTTGAATGGGGATATTGCATAAATAAACCCTAAAAATACTAATACAACCCAATCAAATATTGTGCGCATTAAATAAATGTACAAATATTTAAAATGCAATAAAAAATGTATTTATGTAAAATGTTTTGTATTTGTTTTTTGTATGAGAAAAATGATTTATTTAAGCCCTAAAAATAAGAGGAAAAATATTATTATTTTTTAAAGGGTGAAACCCTAATTTTCAATTTAAATAAAATACATGTTCTATATCATTATTTTGTCTATTTTTGTACAAGAAAATAATAAATAATATTATGTGTAAATATTAAAAATTAAATATGTATGGAAAATAAATATTTTATGTGTATAAATAATAGAATAAAAATATTAAGTATTTTTTAATATTTACAAATTTTATTTAAGAAAATAAAGTATATTATCCTAATAAACTATTTTTTTATGCCAAAACATAATGAAAAAATAAAATAAAAGTGTGAAAATAAATAAATTATTTTTGGGTATTTTTTATCATTAGAAAAAATAAATGCAAGTAATAAATATAAAATATGCAAGAAAAATAAAAAAATATAAGAAAATAGTTAGGGGGTGCAAAAGTAATTCAGGAGGTGCAAAAAGTAAAAGCAAAAAGGCCAGGCGTGCCAAAAAGCCCAAGGCAAGTCATCCTTGTCCTCCAGCCAAGCCTGCGCGCGCGTTTGCCTTCAAACCTGTAACTCTCAGATGCTTGCACAAAAACAAAAACTTATAACATGAAACTTGTAGCATTTTATCTCACGATTCCAACCATATAAAATTTGTAATCTAACTCTAAAAGATCAGGGAGAATTTAATCAACCCTAATTCGTGACCTAAAAAATCCAGGAACTTTAAGCTTCAAATTCTCATAGCACAATTAATATAAATGACAAGTATGCATATGTACAGCTTCACCATGATATAGACTACATCTTTTCTTCACAAATCGTGGCTTGAGGATGCATAAATACAGAGATAGAGTTTGAGAAAAATACCTCATTCAACTGGATTTGGATAGGGCAATATGGGGACTTTGAGTGAGGCCTGAGGATCGTGTGAACTTCCTTGAAGTTCCTTCAAGCTATTCCAATGCCTAGCTTGCTTTGTGAATGGCCAGAAGTCTCTGCACAAGTCAAGTTGCAAGCTCCAAATTTGAAAATGGAAATGGCTGAAACAGAGCTTACAGAAGCAGGGAAAGGGCTTGGATAGCTTTGGTAGGATATGTGGAAGGTGTTTGAAGTGTTGAAACAAAAAACGCATGAGCCAAAAATGAAATGGCTATGATTTTGCAGCAACTCTGAGTTTGGACAGAAAAATGAAGTTTTTGAGTTTGAGAGTGTTTTGGATGCCAAGCAATCGTGTTCTTCCTTGTAATGAGTTTGTATATTTGTATAGAAAGATACAAAGTCTACTCCTTATCAGCTGTACAAGTTCTGACCTCTTTTGCAACTTTTCTTGCATTTGAAGAAAAGTGAAGTGACCAATGCAAACTTGCTTGTACTGGCTGGCTTGTGAGCTACAGAGAGTTGGTATACATTGCTTGTGGCCTGTGGAAATTGTTTGCATCAAAGGGACAGGTCCAAGGCTCAAGATGGACAAAGTTGCAAAAGCTCACTTTATGAAAATGGCATTGTGCACTTTTGGCCAAAAATGGAAATGTATCTTGTACAATGCTTCAAAAGTGAAAATAAAGCCTTTAACCTCTGAGTTTGAATTTAACTATGGAGTGTAGAATGGGTTTAGGACCTGTAATGGAAGGTATAAGCATCATGGATCTGATTTGCAACTTGATACTTTGTGAAAATGGCATGGACAAAAGTGATAAAATGCCAATTTTTCTTCTTCGATTCTCCCTAACCACAAATGATCTTGGAGAGTTATTGGACATTTTAGAAATATTGAAATGTTCTTTATAATCCATATTTGAAATGCATTTTGAGATACCTCTTGGAACTAGGTGAAAAATGTCCATGAAGTTGGGTCAAAAACCTGCCTAAATTAGGGCAAATTTTCACTAAGTTATTTAGTTCATGGACCTATATTCACAAATTCATAACTTGAGATCCAAGCATCTTTTTGGAAAAGTTTGTGAAGCAAAGTTGTGTATTTCATGGATGACTACAACTTTCATGTTGGAAGTTTTCTTTGAATCAAAATTCATCATGGTGAAAAAGTGGTGGAAAGTTTGGGGAAAAATAAGAAAACTTTCATACTTAGAAAAATTCTAAGTTATGAAAATTTTCAAATTCAAAACCCTAATTTCAAAATTGGTTTTCTTGGTGAACAAGTTTCATATTTTGACATATCTTGATGAATTATGACCCTTGGCACTTGATTTTGACCAAAAAGTCAAAGTTTGACTTTTTAGTGTACAATTGACTTTTGATCAGTTGACTGCAAAATTCATCTGTCAATCCAATGAAATTGAGATCTTTTGAACCATGTAATTAGGTCAAGATGATGCCATTGAACCATTTAAATCATATTTAAACCCAATTGGTCATTGTCTTGGTTAAAAATCATAAATTACCCTTTCTCAGTCAAAACCCTAATTTTGACCATTTTGCCCTTTTGATGAGTTGATCAAATTTCTTGAGAAGTTATGATCCAAACTTGATCAAATGGTACATATGAGTCTAAAATGTTGTTGTGGATAAAAAATTGTGAAGTTTGACTGTAAATTGGCCATGGTTGACTTTTTTCCCCAATACAGCTGATTTTTAGGTCAATTGTCCAATTGACTGATCAAAAATGTGATTCAAGGCTTGAAACTTAACATGGGCAATCTTAGGAGTCCAACATGATGTATGAAAGTCACATGAAGCATTGGTGGTCCAAAAATCCTTGTGCAAACTCAAACCTTAATTTTGGGGTATCAGTGCAAGATGAGATGTCTTGAGCTGACCAAACCCTAATCTTGTCTTGAGTCCAAGAAGTCTTGTGAGAAAAATCTTGATAAATGAGAGGGAAAATTTTGGGGTACAACAGTTACCAATGTGTAATAAGTGTTATGTTGGAAACTTAAAATCATGGGAATGCATGCTTCACAATTATATTATATTGGGTTTTTATCTCAATGAATGACACGTTTGACCAAGCAATATTTGAGTTATGTTGGAAGGATTTTTATCATAATTACTTTCAGTGATATCACATCCATGCAATCACCTTTTCGATTTTGAGAAGCAATATTTTGCATGTTAAGTTTTTGTATATAAGATAAGACTCATGTAGGTTTTGCATAAATATCCATCGAAAACTTTGGTTCTATTAGAACAACAAACAACTTTATGCATATCATTTGTAAAATCAAGGCACCTAAAAGTTGAAGATGTCTTCTCCAACCTTGAAAGGGTAAGTGAAATAATAAAATCCAGAAACACATATGTTTACACTGAGTAATAACCTATTATATATTTTTTAAATGTAGTTTTCTACTGATTTATGAACATTCTACGTTTACAGTTTTGTACCACTCAACATTGATTAACTCTATGGAATACTTCTAAACATTAAGGAAGAACCTCATACATCCAACGTACCACCCGAAGTTATGTTTCCTGAGATTAATGCTACATTGAAAGAAGTTAAAAAGGAGACAGAAGTGGGACAACCGTCCAATGCGAAGAACAATGTTGGAGATTTGGAGAAGGAGGTTTCTTTCATTAAAGAAATCAGCAAGTCTGGGAGTAGGGGCAATCATGTTTTTGTAAGTAATATCTTTAACTAATTGTGTCAATGAAAATACTACATGGTAATGAGTTATTTGATAGTGTATCCATGTGTTATAACTTTAGTGACTATATGCATTTTTCAGCATTTTCCAGCTGAAGTTCGACTTAAGGCCCTCTGTCCCGACATTACTTCGTGTCTTATTAGGGATTTTGACACGGGTGAGTATCTTCCATGTAAGATCATCAAATCAAATAAGCCAAATGGTGAAATGTCTCTTGGAAAATGATGGTATTCTTTTGCAAAGTCCAAAAAGCTTAAAGTCGGAGATAAGTTTCATTGCACATACAGATCAGGGGAAGAAATTCTATACGTTAGGCTCCAGAGAAAAGGCAAATAGCATCGTTTTAGATCTTGAACCTATGATCACATGCATGATGTTTTCTTGAAAGGTTAACTAATATTTCATATTCTAATGATTGGGTTAAGTATGTTGTTTTTTTACTGCTATTATATAGCAGTGGTTGTGATCCATGTTAAAACTTTTGTTTAATTATTAGTATGTAACTTATGGCATTTTATGATAATATGGTTGGGCAATGTTTGTTGTATTTGTGGTATATTAATATAAATGAAGCTATATAAATTATTAACATTTCCATAACAATTGTATATAAGTTAGTTTGTTTAAAAGAAAAATTGTAATTAAAACTTGGAACTAACCTGAAAGGTTAAAATGATTTGAAATTAACAGAGATGAATGTTGTCAAGTGGATCAAAATGTGATTTGATTAATATTTTGTGGCTGTAATAAATAAATTCAAGATATGTATCAATGGTGAGTGTAAATGGACTGATTAGATAGAATTTCACCATTGCAATTTATAGTAAGAATTATTTGTTGTCTAAAATCAAGTTTAAAGGAGTGTGAAATGGTTTATAACAATATGTATTTGAAATGGTTTATACCAAACTTTCTTTGAAATGGTTTATATGACATATATGGTGTATTTTTGTAAAAAAATATGCTTTATCAGAATGTTCTGAAGTTGTTACTAAGCTTGGTTAGGACATGAAAAATAGCCAGAAGTTTGGTTTGACAGGTTTTATGATTTTCGATCATATGGTCAATCCTACTATTTAGAAAACATTAATTTGGGGTAAGCTATTCGAACTTTGTAAGGTTAAATTGTGACAGGTTTTAATCAAGGAGCAACTGTTAGTCAACAACTCGACAATAAACAAAATTTGATAACAAACTAACCTATAAAATAAATTATATGCAGTATGCAATATTCTTTTAAATAGATATTGTAACTTTGCAAGCAAACAAAAGGGTAACACTCCAACTGTTTTGAATAAAATTCTCTTTACAAATTGTATTAAAACAAAAACTTATCAACAATTTTATGAAGTATAAGAAATGGAACATGAACATGAACATTGTAAAATCAATATCATGAAAATGCATGCATATGGTTTTCCCTTTAGTTCCATATAATTTATGTCCATGCAACATTGTGAAATCAGAGTATGTTGAAGCTCCAATGCAGAATTGGTTCTTTATATGTTTAAAACTATATGTGGGCAGTTACCAAATAATAAGAACCTAAAACATGTATCATAAGAAGATCATGTCAATAAAACTTTATACATTCATATTGGGAGCAAAGATAAATACATTCCTATTGGAAGCAAATATGAAATTTCAATTGATGAAACAGTTTATGCATACATTTAGTATATTTGTGATCTATTGGAAATAAACACTTACTTACGTGATACTAACCAAACATACATGGTCCAACTTTTGTAAAAATTAAATATTCCCAAATGACATAGACCATGCAGTTTGTTTTCAATAAACTAAAGTATAATAATTATTAATTAATGTTAAATGTAATGTAAGTCAAACAATTGGATTTTCCATAAAGTTCATACGGGAATTCAAGCGGATCATAATCTCCGGACTAAATAAAAAAAAGATGTGTATGAAACATGGTATAAAATGAATAAGCCTGAAAAAGATAATAAGTATACCTCAATCAAATCCATTTTGATTTGAAGTGCAGGCTTTCCAATTAACTTAACACAGTCAACGTCCCAAAAGATGAACTTGTACTTGAATTTTTTATCCGAAGCCAAAACTTCGAGCTTAAACCTACAATATTTGTGACAAAAATTAATTATGTCAAATATACAATGACCAAAATAGGATAGTAACATAAAAATTGTAGACAACATACCTCGGTACTGCCTCTGCAGATACATGTTTGGAATAACATGTAAGCTTCCCATCCTTCAAAGTCACGCTCTTCGTGCAGTCAACGCATCCATCGTAATACCATCCTGACTGCCCACACTCAAATTTCTCTAACTTTTCCACAGTTACACAGGTAGTCTCCTAAAAGGATTCGTATTATTATTAATCCAACACATTCGAAGGACATTAACAAAGAACATATACATGATGGAAACATGAACGAATAAGTGAGATGAATTACATGTTGTAGTAAATTGATTTCAGAAAGATGCAATATTTTGGCTTTCCAAACAAATTTATCAAACTCAAAAAATTGTGAGTTATGTGTTGCGTCAATTTGGAGACTTGACGAAAGCAGTGGAAGATCATTCTTATGACTGATATATGCAAAAAAGTATACAGAGAAGCATGGTTAATTTTTCAAATTGTAGAAAGCAACATATGTAAGTCTTTTAACAACAAAAATATGAAATATATCTATACATAATGCAAATATACCCTTCTTTAAGTTTGTTAATCTCTTCAATGGTGACATCATTATTCAATAGTTTTGTTCCATTCCATGAATTGGAAACATTCAATGGATAACCTCTTGCAATGTACCAAAAATAAGGCATACTAAGATATAAACAAACTTAACATTTCAAAATTCCTTTGTATAAATCAAGAAGTGAAAAATGAAAATGTTGATTTGACTCAAATTTATATGTATTACCTTGAGGTTCCTTAATCCTTGCATTAATAAGTAGAATAACAATATTTCCATCATCCTTATGATTCGTATAATATTGGTAAAATTGTACAACAAGTTTTCCCCACAAAGTACACTGTATAGGATTTTTGCTGTACCAACAAACGTTTTAATTAAAGGTACATTATACCGTGAAGATCAAAGTACATTCAACATACCTCAAGTCAGTCAATGTAAAGACAACTGTTCTCTTGTTGTTATCAGCAATTATCTGTGATTGAGTTATCTCAGTAACTCCTCCAATAATATCTATAAAGAAATTTGAGGATTAAATTCAAATTATGTGATTACTATTAACAAATCTACATATAAAACAAATTAACAAATGTGTTTAACTCACCAACCAAAAGATTTGACTCAAATTTCCCATCAACTATTGCATCTAATCTAAGTATGTTAAAATAGTTCAACGGAATGTCTGAAAGTTCGATTTTTTTCACTAAAGTAGATCCATAGAAAATCATTTTGAAACTATGCTTAGTAGACATAAAAGTGAAATCATTGTTGGAGACCTTAAAATTTTGCATGATGTAAGAACATCCAACTGCAAGTTGCGTCGTAAATTTTGGAACCAAATAAGGAGGTACGATAACTTGAATCATATCGAGCTGCATATAACGAATTTAGATTTATTAGACAACAACAACAAATGTGAAGAAATTTGCAACATAAGTGAACAAAAGATATTACCTTTGAATCAAACAAAATTATCTCCAAGTGTTCTTTGTTTGAAGCACTGGTGACAGTCCACAGATGTTTACACCTGATGGCTATCTTCCATAAGTCCTTTGAATCATTGATGTCCTTCACAGCTTCAACAGGGCGAGTCATACCGTGAATATCTGTTTGCTATATTATCAAATGGACAGTTAGTTATTGAGATAAGAAAATGACAACAACAACAACATTATGGAAAATGAAATATGAAGAGAAGAAATAGGAAGAGACCGTTGAAATTCTTCAGGGTTTGATTTGTGACACTTGATAAGCATTCTTTGATAGCATCTTTTGGATACCCAATTACTCAAGGTTATTGGAAAATTGTAAAAAGTTTGGTCTCTTCAAGAGACCTTTCAGATTCCCCAATAAGTTTGTATTTCCAACTAATTGGCGTAATACTCATTATTAGGTTTATATTGGTTTATTAAAACACTGGTTAAAAAATAAACAAAATCTTGTAAATTGGCATAATTCTCAATATTAGGTTTATTTTGGTTTATTAAAACATTGGTTAAAAAATAAAAAAAATAATGTAACAAAAATTGGTGTGATGCCACATTAGATGCAATAAATGTCCGATGAATGTGGTGATAGTAGATTAGTATAAAGTCATGTTTTTCCTTTGTAATAAGTTACAGAAGATTTTTTTAAGGGGGGTAAAATTGGTATTTCCAAATACTTTTATTTTTATAGTTGTATATTAGATATTATTTTCTCTTTACTAATCACATATTTTCGCAGAAGTAAAAGAATACATTGCACGTTATGGGGGGACTTATGATGAAAAAAATCTAACAATATCTTCAAAATCACAATAAATTTGGTTCTATTGTATTTATCATGAATCCTGCTAAGTTAAAAGAAATTGAATGGTAACTTAGATTTTTTTATGTCAATATTATTCATTATACTTATTTATTATTTATTATTTCATCCAATTGTGTTTAATGTTTGTTATCAGGAATAATGAGAAATTCAAATGCATTTTTTGGTGAATTTTTTTTGGAATAACCAAGTATTAAAAAAAAAATCGCCAATAACCATGTTTCGAAAAAAATTACGCAAATAACCATGTTTTAGAAGACTGCCCAAGGGAGGAGTCATCTCACTTGGCGCCTACACCTAATTTTTAAGGGGAGGCGCCATCTCACTTGGCGCCTAGGTGCTTAGGGCTTGTCCTAAGCCAAGTGAGATGGCGCCTTAGTGCATTTGGTAGGGAAATTTTCGTGTTTTTTTTCAATGCGGTGCGTTACGTATTCGATATAGGATCAACAAAATTGACTTTTTATTTACAAAATATGATTACACACATAACTATTACATAAAAAAAAAACAGATTAATTAGTGGTTCCCCAGAACCCGGTAATGACCCTCGGTTCTGCATCCTCGTCCTCGCCTTTCCCGTGCTGGGTTTCGTTATGTTTCCTGCTGTGGCAGAGTCGATGGCCCAGCGAAGTCAATGCATTCTGAATCCATGAAATTAGTCAGATCTCCATATCTAGAAGATCCACTTTGGTACAGTCGATTACCCATACCCTTAAAGTTTGGTCGTGTT